ACCCCAACCCCTCCATCCCTCACCCCAACCTCTCCATCCCTCACCCCCGATCCCTCCATCCCTCACCCCCGACCCCTCCATCCCTCACCCCCAACCCCTCCATCCCCCCCTTCCTGGCCAGGGCACGTGGGAGGGGGTCCCCACACCTCACCGTGACAAAGGAACCCCAGCACAACCTCAGCAGCAGTTGGTCTCCATGGCCAGGGAGATGGCCTCGATGGAGATTATGCCGATCACAAGCATCGTGAATTTGCGGCTGCCCAGCAGCCTGTGCAGGGAAGCACAACACTCGGTGTCCTTTCTCCTGTCAGAAACAGCAGCAGAGCTGGAGGGAGCTCTTGCAGTTTGTCTTTTTTGTTGGTTTTCCCATGACCCACCCCAGCAGCTGGACCCGGCTCCTGCCCAAGTCTTCCCTTCACCCAGGCTGAACCAGACCCCAACCATCAGGTCCCGCAGCTTGCACATCCCCCGGGGGGCAGCCCCGCACCGAAGGGGCTTTGCTCCGTGTGTAACTGAGCCGGCAGAAGGGAGCACGCCCCGCAATGGCCTCCAGCAGGCACTGGAAGGACCTAGTAAGAAAATTGGAGGTGACTTGTCCATTCTGGGAAGGGTCTGGGTGCTCCATGTGCCGCTTCCCCGATCGCTCCGTGAAATAGCTGGGTGCTCCTTAGCTTCCCCAAGTGACCTTCAGCGTGGGCGGGAGGGTGGAATGCGCTGTTTGACATCATCACCCGATGAGGTCACTTTCAGAAGAAACCACCACACAGGCAACTGCTGGGGTCAAGTCCTGGGTAAACAAAATTTCTGCATTAGCAGTATAATGAGCAGACACTGGTTATTCTTAATTTACTGGGTTTGCATTGCTGAGTGGCTTAGGCAAACACCCACCCCTATCTGAGGGAGGAGATGAGCTGGGATGATGCTGCGCAGGCACTGGTCCCCGTCCCTCCCAGCACCCTGGGGGACGGCCCGTCCCCACGCCGAGGCGGGAGGAGCAGGCGGTGAAAGGCTGCCGGCCCCGCAGAGGAGCATCGTGCCATCGCGTCACCCCGGCACTTGTGTCTAGCAGCAAAAAAAATGACGAGGGCTCCCACAATGAGGTGTGCATCTGAGCTTCAGGGGGTTCCTCCTCCTTCATGCACCCACCACGTGTCTGGGAATGGTGCAGGAGCCCAAGCACAGAGCCCTGCTCTTGCTGGGGACCCTTCCCGGGGCTCCAGCATCCCCTCCGCCCGCGCGGGCTGGCCTGGCTCTAACCAGAGGACTGCTGGCAGCTGTGCCTGGACTCTTCCCAAAATTCATTTGCAAACGAGTTGTCAGTTCCTCACTAAAGGGTCCAACTCTGCCACAGCTCTTCAGCGCGAGCAGCGCTTACGTAAACACGGCCTTTGATGTCAGCGGGATAACTCACATCCATGTTTACTTCTTGCCTCGCTTCTCTAGGAGAAAGCGTATCAGCAATTGCCAATTTATTTCAATTAGTCAGCATCTCTGTGCTTGCTGGTCTGGATGCTCTGCGAGCACTTGTTCCAGGACACACACATGTTTGGCTAATCCCGAGGTGCAGCTTTGGGTAAGCCACAAATATTTGTGTCTTGGAACAAACAATTGTGAAGAACTGAGCTCTTGCAGGAGAACTCACTAGCTTCAGCTAATTGGCGATCCCTTCATTAACCTGAGGCTGAAAAGGCCAGAGGAGATGCACACACACACACACACACACATCCCTATCAGAAGCTGCAGAAAGCTCGAGGCTTTCCAAATTGTGTTTTGCATGATTGAAAAGCACTGGCGGGCGAGGAAAAGGCCGAGGGGGGCTGAGGAGCTGGCAGGCTGCAGGGCTGAGTATGAAGGCAGTGCTGGAGCAGGGATCTGGGCAAACCCACAAACCGCCCATCCCTGAAAACCAGGGATGCTGGAAACATCCCTGACCCAGGGCCAAGCTGTCTGGGGGACATAAACCAACAGAAAACTCCAGCCCAAAGGGATCGGCTTTGTAGTTTCGCTCTGCTGAA